TGAAAATGGCTATGGTGGGAGCACACACACAACAGCACATCAACTTTTTCATTTTATTTATTTTCAGAGACTCAGTTGTAAAATTTTATTAGCTTCTGCATGGATTCAAAATGTTCATTTGTTTACTGATATATACAAGCAAACATTGTGAAAATAGCATTTTTACTTCCTTTCCCAGCATCGATTGTGTGGTATTAATCACTCCAGTTTTCACTTGATTAATTATAGCATTGTATACCGACTTCCATCTTTTTACATTTTAACTTATTTATGGCTTTATATTTGCAGTGAACTTCTTGTAAGTATATCCTAGGGTATTGTTTTTCTTTATCCAGCATGACAACCTCTGCCTTTTAATTGGGGTATTAAAAGACTATGACTAATTGGAGCATTAAAAGACTAGACTATTCTCATTTAATGTTTCTAATGATACAGTTAGGCTTAAATCTACCTTCTAGTTTGTATTTCATTTGTCCCATCTCTTAATTGTACATTTTCACTTTTTTCTGCCTTCATTTGGATTGACCATTTTTGTGATGGCATTTTTACTCTTTTGTTGCCTTATTAGCTATAATTTATCACAGTCTACCTTAAAATATGTATTAGTTCATGTACAGTATAGGAACTTTGCCTTTGTTTACTTTCATTTTTCTCTCTCCCAGCCTTATTGCTATTGTCATATATTTTACTTCTACATATGTTTTCGATAACACATTTTAATTTTTTTGTCTAAAGACAGTTATCTTTTAAAGACATTTAAATAAGATATATGTGTGTATATATGCGTATATATATGTACATATGTGTGTATATATATGTATATAGAGAGATAGATATTTTCATGTTGTTACCATTATCACTGCTCTATATTCCATTATATAGGTACATATTTCCATCTGGTATTGTTTTCATTCTGCCCAAATCATTTCCTTTGATGTTTCTGATAGCTCAAGTCTGATGGTGATGAATTCTTTCAACTTTTATATATGTTAAGAAGTCTTTATTTCATTTTTGAAAAACATTTTATTTAGTATAGTATTGTGGCTTTGTATTTGTACATTCTTGCATACTACAAATACATACTTGAAATTGGGTAATTTATAAAGAAAATAGTTTTAATTGGCTCATGGTTCTGCAGGCTGTACAGGCTTCTGTTTCTGGGGATGCCTCCCGAAACTTACAATCATGATAGAAGGCAAAGGGGGAGCAGGCACGGGTCTTATGTGGCTGGAGTAGGAGGAACAGAGAGAAGCGGGGAGGTGTCATACATGTATAAACAACCAGCTCTCATGATAACTCACTCTCACAAGAACAGCAAGGCGGAAGTCCTCTCCCATGATCCAGTCACACCTCCCACCAGGCCCCTCATCCAACATTGGGAATTACAATTCAACATAAGATTGGGGTGAGGATACAAGTCCAAACCATGGAAGTCCTCCCCCATGATCCAGTCACCTGCCACCAGGTCCCTCATCCAACACTGGGGTTTACAATTCAACATGAGATTTGGGTGGGGAGGCACAAATCCAAACCATATCTTTCTACCTTTTGCCCCTCCCAAATCTCATGTCCTTCTCACACTGTAAAACATAATAATCACTTCTCAACAGTCCCCAAAGTCTTAATCTATTTCAACATTAACTCAACAGGCCACACTCCACCTGTGAGTGTGTAAAATAAAAAACAAGTTAGTGACTTCCAAAACACAATGAGGGTACAGGCATTGGCTAAATACTCCTGATCTGAAAGGGAGAAATTGGCCAAAACAAAGGGGCTACAGACTCCATGCAAGTCCATAACCCATTGGGACGGTCATTAAATCTTAAAGCTCCAAAATAATCTTTGACTCCATGTCTTATATCCAGGCCACACTGATACAAGAGGTGGGCTCCCAAGGCCTTGGGCAGCTCTGCAACTATGTCTCTGCAGGGCTTATCTCCTATGGCTGCACTCAACAGCTGGTGTTGAATGCCTGTGGCTTTTCCACGTACACAGTGCAAGCCATTGGTGGATCTACTATTCAAGGATCTACTATTCACAGCTCCACTAGGAAGTGTCCCAGTGGGGACTTTGTGTGGAGGCTCCAACCCCACGTTTTCCCTCCTTACTACTCTAGTAGAGGTTATCCCTGAGGACTCTGCCCCTACAGCAGACTTCTGCCTGGGCATCCAGATGTTTCCATACATCTTCTGGAATCTAACTGGAGGCTTCCAAGACTCAACTCTTGCTGTCTGCACACCCGCAGGCTTAGCACCACATAGAAGCTGCCAAGGCTTATGGCTTGTACCCTCTGGAGCAGCAGCCTGAGACATATCTGGGGCCCTTTTAGCCATGGCTAGAGCTGGAGTGTCTGGGACACAGGGAGTAATGTCCCAAAGTTGCATAGGGCAGCAGCACCCTGGGCACGGCCAATAAAACCATTCTTCCCTCCTTTGCCTCTGGGAATATGATGGGAGGGGCTGCCACGAAGATCTCTGAAATGGCTTGGAGGCATTTCCCGCATTGTCTTGGCTATTAACATTTGGCTCCTCTTATGAAAATTTCTGTAGTTTTCTTGAATTCCTCCCAAGAAAATGAATTTTATGTTTCTGCCATATGGTCAGGCAGCACATATTCCAAAACTGTATGCTCTGCTTTCCTTTTAAATATAAGTTCCAGTTTCAGATCATCTTTTTGCTCATGCATATGTACGTACACTGTTAGAAGCAGCGAGGTTAAATCTTGAATGTTTCGCTGTTTAGAAATGTCTTCCGCTAGATACCCTAAATCATCATTCTCAAGTTTAAAGTTCCACAGATCCCTAGAGCAGGGGCACAAAGATAGCAGTCCATTTGCTAAAGCATAGCAAGAGTGACCTTCAGTTCCCAATAAATGCCTCATCTTCATCTGAGACCTCATCAGCCTGCCCATCTCTGTCCATATCACTATCAGCATTTTGGTTAAAACCATTCAATAAGTCGCTAGGAATTTCAAAATGTTCCCTCATCTTTCTGTCTTTCTGAGTCCTCCAAACTGTTCCAACCTCTTCCCATGACCCAGTTCCATATTTAGTTCCACATTTTCAGGTATCTTTATAGCAGTGTCCCATTCCTAGGGACCAATTTTGTGTATTCATCTATTCTCATACTGCTATAAAGAAATACCTGAAACTATGTAATTTATATTTTAAAAAGAGGTTTAGTTGACTGATGGTTCTGCCGTCTGTACAGCCTTCTCATTCTGGGGAGGCCTGAAGAAACTTGTAATCATGGCAAAAAGTGAAGGGGAAGCAGCACATCTTACATCGCTAGAGCAGGAGGAAGAGAGATAAGGGGTAGGTGCTGTACACTTTTAAACAACCAGATCTCATGAGAACTCACTATCACAAGAACAGCAAGGAGGAAGTCTTCCCCAGTGATTCAGTTACCTCCCACCAGGCCCTTGTACAAAAATTGGGGATTACAATTCAACATGAAACTTGGGTGGGGATACACATCCAAACAAGCTTCATTGCTGTTTTTTTTTTTTTCTTCCTGTGCTTTAAAGATGTTACTCCAGTGTCTTCTGCTTTCATCATTCCTGAGAAGAAAAATGCTGTCATTGTCATCTTTGTTCCTCTGTATGTATTGTGTGTTTTTTTTCTCTTGGCGAGTTTGAGATTTTCTCTGTATCACTTTTTTTGTTTGTTTTTTTGTTTGTTTGTTTGTTTGTTTTTAGCAATTAGATCAGGATATATTTCAATGTAGTTAGTTTTCTTCATGTTTCTTATATTTGGGTGTCATTGAACTTCTTGCATGGATCTATGAATTTATAATTTTCATCAGCTATAGAAAATTTTTAGCCATTGTGTCTTCAAATATTGTTCTGCCTCTCCTCTCTTGAATACTGTAACTACACATATATTTGGTCTTTTGAAGTTGTCCCAGAGGTAGCTGATCTTTCTTTTCACTCTTTCAAATTATTTATTCCTGTATGAGTTTCATTTTGAATTTTTCGTATTACTCTGTCTTCAAGTACACTAACATTTTGTTATGAGATTTGTAATTTTGTAATTTGCTGCTAATCCCAGCCAGTGAATTTTAAATCTGAAGCATTGTAGATTTCATCTTCAGAAGTTTGACCTGGGTCTTTTTATATATTTCATGTCTCTACTTAGCTTACTTAATATATGTAATACAGTTATAGAAACTGTTTTAACATCCCTGTATGCTAATTCTAACACTTGTTTCAATTTTGTATTACTTTTGATTGGTTGATTTCTTCTTAGGGCATGTATTTTCTTATTTTCATGACTGCTAATTTTTGGTTAGATGTCAAATGTGAATTTTACCTTTTTGGATGCTGTATATTTTTGAATTTCTATAGATATTCTTAAGTTTTATTCTGGGCCATAATTAAATTACTTGGAATGATTTTTATTATTCTAGGTATTTATTGTAAGATTTGTTAGGGAACCAGAGTGACATTTAATCTGTAGTCTAGATTCAAGTCTCATTATTCCCTACAACTGAGGCAAGCTCAATAAGTCAATAAGTCAAGCTCAGTCGTGAGTAAGTACCTTATTGACTGTGAATTGTGAAGTTTTCCAATCTGGTGGTAACAGGAACTAATTCTGGCCATCTATGAACACTGTTTTATTTAATCTTTTTTTCTCTAGTAATTTCCTTATATGCATACACTGATGAGTACTCTACTGAATATTCAGAGGGTATCTTCTGCAGTTCCCCAAAGTTCTTTCTCTGCAGCTCTCTCCTCTCTGGTATTTTGTTTTGCAGACTCCACCAATTTGTTCTCCTTGGATGCTCAGCTTTCTTTCCTCAACACAGAGATTATGTTCTACCAGAGTTTCGTTTCCCTATTTTGTGGCCTGGAAACCGTCTCTTGACAGTAACCTGGACAATCATAGGGCTCATCTCATTTCTTTGCCATCTTTCAGGGATCACTGTCATTTTTTGCCTGAAATCCAGTGTCTTAAAAATTTGCACTTCATATATTTTATTTGACTTTCTTGGTTGTTTCAGGCAGGAGAGTGAATCCGATCTCCCTTACTCCATTTTGACCAGATATGGAAGATGAGGAAACTGAATGTGATCTGATATTCAAGATAGCTGCTTTGCAATATTTCCCTCCATGGTTATACAGGATTTTGACTTCAGCATGTGTGTGGTCTTGAAGGCCACTTAGGATGAGACTGATTGCAGGAGACTAAGGATATTGGCTATGATACCTTCTATATTTATAAGGTAGAGTATGGCTTACAAAATGCCATATTATTATTATTATTATTATTATTATTATTTTACCAACATTTATTCCTTCTTTTTATAGTAACCACATACTGATTTTTTCTGGTAAAGATGCCCTTTTCACTCTCTGTCTGTGTGGGTCTGGCAGGGATGACATCACTCTGAAACAAGCAGAGTTGTCACGTGACCCAGATCTGACCAACCAGAATCTCTGCCACCTAAATCATAGATATTTAGTTTAGGGATGGGCAAATTGGTCTAGGAATTAACTCCATAATTTTTGCTAGATCTGTCAGAAAGAATCCATTTCATTCTACTGGATTTGTAGTTAGTTAGATATAGGAATAGAGCTACTGAAGGCAACCTGCATGCCCAGTCATACATACACAGAAAGAAAAATAGAGACCAACTCTTTTTGACATTTTTGAGACCCTGGATTTTCCTAGAGTTTTCAATTATGAATGAATTCCCTTTATTTCTAAAACCAATTTGAGTTAGGTTTCTACCAATTGCACATGGAAAATTCTGACTCACACATAAGTGATTATTGTCAGAGATAAGGGAGATAAGTAAGGAGATAAATAATTTCACCAATGCTTGAAATACAAAGTAGAAAGTATTCACTCCTACATGATTTCAGGGAAAAGAGAAATTGTGATAAAAATATAGAAGTACAGGCCGGGCGCGGTGGCTCAAGCCTGTAATCCCAGCACTTTGGGAGGTCGAGACGGGCAGATCACGAGGTCAGGAGATCGAGACCATCCTGGCGAACACGGTGAAACCCCGTCTCTACTAAAAAATACAAAAAAAAAAAAAAAAAAAAAAAAAACTAGCCGGGCGAGGTGGCGGGCGCCTGTAGTCCCAGCTACTCGGGAGGCTGAGGCAGGAGAATGGTGTGAACCCGGGAGGCGGAGCTTGCAGTGAGCTGAGATCCGGCCACTGTACTCCAGCCCGGGCGACAGAGCGAGACTCCGTCTCAAAAAAAAAAAAAAAAAAAAAATATATATATATATATATATATGTACGATTTCTTTTGTAGCTATGCTAAATATTGTATATACATGATCTCATTTAATCCCCAGGTAAGCCTAAGTCAGTAAATATTTATTTAATTGATAAAGAAACATAGCCTTGGAGAGATTAGATAATTTTCCTAAAATCATGCAGCTAGAAAATGGCAGAAGCAAAGGAGTAATCTCTCTTTCTTGCTTCAATGTTTTAAAACTTCATGATTCTTCGGTGTGGCATTGAGGAATCTGAGAGGGCTTTGTGAAGAAAATGGACCTTGGAAGATGAGTGTTGGAGGAAAGGAAGGGTATTCCAGGTAGCAAGAAGGGCAAGAACAAAGGGACAATGTTAAATGTCTGAATTTGATTATTGTACCATTATCATGTAAAAATCTGTGCTTGTTGTTTGGAAATACACACTGAAATATTTAGAAGTGAAGAGTCATAATTTTTGCAATTTACTCTTAAATGATTCAGTAGGAAAAACAAAAGAGCAATAATTATTTTTTAAGAGAAAGATTTTGTATAATTTGAAAGTAAAAAGGCATCAGTTTTCTGTATTTGACTGAAGCCACTGGCTGTAGCAAAAAAAAAAGCCACATTTTCTTGCCCCAGGCCTTACAGCTGGAAATTGACAGAGCTGGAACGGAAACCTATAGTTCCTGCCTCTTATTCTATTGTTTAAAAGTGGGTGTGCTGACATCTAAGTTTAAGAAATTTATTTTCATTTGTGACCTATAGAAAATGAATCCTAAAATTGGGGTGAAAATATTGTTGGTATATTTCTCTTTAAACTCAATTTTTGTTGACAAAATAATTCAGATGAAGACTTTGCTAAATGCCTCAAGCAAATGAAACAACTATAATTTCCTCTTTAAGCTAATTCACAGTGCGTCTTGCTACTCTTTACTATACATGAGATGCCAGATGTTGCCAGACAGGGACTGTCAAAACATGGTGTGTCTGCTTTAGGGAACTGAGTGAATCACAATTTACTTGTTTCGTCTTTATTTTTTTCTCTTAAGAAACGTTGCATTCACCCTCATATAAATAATACACACAGATTGTTGTTTGAACAATGTCCAGTAAGGGAGCATTGAGAATCTCAGGCATACATAGACAGAGTATATATTTAATTTGGGAATATCTTCCAAATAAAATATTATTTGAAAACCTAATTGGACACATTACAAATGTATATCACTGTGATTCTTTGTAGAGAACCTTGGGAATCAGAAAAAGCTACAAATTTACAAAATGTTTTTTACAACAAACACAAAGCATGAAATATGCCAGCCACTGTTAAGACACACACTGTTTAGTTCATAATTCCATAATAATGTGGCATTCATTAAGGGTTTGCTTTTGATTTAAATCAGAACTCTATATTATCTCCCTTTGATCATAATAATGCATAGTTCTCAGACACACAAATTAAATACTTTCTCATCAGGTTATTTTAAAAATATGAGAGATGGGGAAGGAGAAAACAAAACAACTTGGAAGAGTTCTCTCATTGTTCTTGGGTCTCCTTGGGTAGCCAATGACTGAATGCCACAGAAACTTCAAGGCAGCTGGTAACTATATTGAATGTTGGGGAGTTTGTCACACTTGTGTATGTTAAATTAATTCCCTTGGACAGTGAACAGCAAACAGATTAGGTGACCTAAATGGAACTGAAGAATGGGTTCCTGCAAATCAATTACTATCTCAGTGTTGGTTAATAGAAACACATCTTGCAGGTATGTGGGGACAGGCAGCAGGGTGGAGTGACAGCAACACATGGGAGCTGGAGGGACAACTCTTACCTCCTAGAGTGACTGATCTCTGCTCCCCTACATGAAAGCCAAACAAGAGGCAAACAGGAGCTGAAAGAATCAGTAAATCACAGAGCTGGATTATGCAGCACTGATAAGGATGCTTCCAAAAGTTTGATTCATGTTCGTTGGTTGATTAAAAGTGAGACATAGCAAAGTCGTACAGTCACGAAATCTGTCTAGCAGAGACCAGTGAAGGACAATGTCTGCCTGCCTTAATTCCACTGATGTGGGGGAAAGTGGGAGAAAGAAAATGATCATATTCTCTCTATTTCCCTCCTTCTTGATAACTGATGATCTGAAACTTTTCTGTCTTTGGCTCTTTCCTATATGAATTACTTATCACCACTCCTTGACCTCACCTTCAAGAAAACAAAAAATTAAGGAAAAAATAGTACTGTGACCCCTATTACTTTGCAATATGATTCTATGTGCCATAAAGGAAAACCATGTAACAAGGCCCAGATGCTATTAACAGGACAATTGAAACCCAAGGCTTGCCCTGACTTTCTTTCCTAATCTGGTGTTTTGAGAGTAAAAAGAACAAATGAAAGAAAATGAAAAAAACGGTGAAAGAGAATTTAAAAAGCAGGGAAAAAAAAAAGCAGACAATGGAAAACCTTTACTTTTTAGTCATTTTCTGCTACTCAGTTTTATCAATTGAAAATTATGGGCCATTTCTGTCCTGGACAGGCTTTCTGTTTCCACATTGGTGAAAGATACTTTTGTATGCATAGTGTGCATGCTATGTATCAAGTACTTGAAATTGATCAAGAAATGGATAACGATGAATTAAATCATATTTGTGGTTGCACATTATGCTGAACATAAAAAAATTACTGGCAAGTCTAAGTCACTTACATTTTTTTCTTAAAATAGAAAAGACAAGGTGATTGTATTGAGGAAAGAAAAGGGAAGGCCATTAGCAGAGGATGAAAAAGTACGTAAGAGGTAAAGGCTGCAAGCAAAAGAACTAGACAATTATGAGAGTTCAGATCTAGGTCCCTTAGAGTTAATTTAGTTGAATGGAAAAATCATGAGCCAGAATATCTAGACCTAGTCTGTGCTTTTGCTCACTGAAGATGTGATCTTGGATAAGTCATTAAACTTTTGACAAAGGGCCTCAGTTTCATCATACATGAAGTAGAGAGTATAAGCTATTTGTTTACCTCAATTATGGAGTACCAAAAATATTTATGAAGTCCTTATTAAAAAGTTAAAGCTATATAAATGTTAATGGTATGGTTATGATTATGATTATTTCTTACCACACTGATAAAGCTCCTACTGAGCGAGTGAGAAGCTAGGTCTTATCCTGCACTGGAGCCAACAGAAGCTAGAATAAAACAGCTAGTGTTGCTTAAATACTTGTCAGGTGTCAAGAACTGCAGTAAATCCTTTGTGTGCATCAAATCATTTAATCATTACAGCTCTCTAAACTAGAAATATTGTTAGCCCCATTTTATAGATAGGGAAACAGAATCAGTGATTTGCCCAAAGTCATGTGGCTAGGAAGTGGCAACGCTGTGATGTGAATCTAGGCCTATGTCAGTTACCCTAAACTTGCTGCTTCCAAATTGAGATGGAGAACCCAGGTTAGATCAGGTTTCCTGAATGGAGTGCACTATATCAGAGCTGCCCTAAGGAAAGTGGTTCACATTTGGGGATTCCTTTCTTCAAATAATGCCTGTTAGTATTAATGTGATAAACTCATTCATGCTGAGATGCTATTCCTTCCAAGAGTCTAAAGAGGGTAATGCTTAACCTGTATAATGAAGTAATAGCAGTAGTACTAAAGACCTTGGAAAGAGAAGGAAGGAAGAGAAGGAAACTGAAGGAACTGGAAGGATTTTGTGGCAGGGCCTTTTTCAAATCACGCTTTATAGACAGTTGCCTCCTATGTCTACATTTATGCATGTTCTTAGCTCTTCAGAACACTAACATTAGTATTTTCTTAGTTTTCTAGGGTACAACATATTCATCTGGATTAGAATTATGCTCTGACTGTACTGTGTACCCACAGAGGAATGTTAAACTCTCCTGAGCTTTGGCCTGTTTGCAAAACAAAAAGTAATTATTACCTTAAGGAGTTGTTTTGAGGATTAGATGACACAGTGTATGCCAAAGTGCCTGTTTCATGCTGTTGTTCCTTTCATAACAATAACAATAATAG